AACCATTGTCCTAAAAAAAAATAATATTATATATGTTATAAAACAGTATTTAAATTTTGTATATATTTTACAAATTAATATTATATAAGACCTTTTTATTTTTAGCACATGAAAATATGCTAAAATAGGAACTAACCAAATGGACCAGCTACTCTGACTGGCCAAAGTGGGTTTAATGGTTCGATTACATATGCTATAACTTTTACCCACATAGGAACTCTGGAAATTCGATCTACAGGTCTTTCCGGAAAACCCCACGGATCGGCAAGAATCAGGTGTTTAATTCTTTCGGGATATTGCATGCTATATGATGCTGCAAGAAAACCACCCATTGAATGACCTAACAGTACAAATTTTTCTAACTGCATTTCTCTTCTCCATTCCTCAATAGAGCGAACTAATTGACTTTCAGCTTCTTGAGCTTCGTTACTAAAAACAGGACGACTACTTCTACCGAAACCTGAATAAAAAATTAATATATATTTCAGAGAAGCAAAATAAACAACAAACAAATATGATGATAACCAAAATATATTATAGTTTAAAAAATAATGATATAAAAATATTATAAAACAAATAATAATAACAAATATTTAAAAAATATGAAAAAAATCACTTCGTATTATTTTATTATATATATTATATATTATAAATTATATACAATTCTAAAGTTCAATTTTATCTATGAATCATATAATAACTATACTTAAAAACAAAATATATATCTTTAGTATATATGGCTTTTTATTTTAAATATTATTGAATAAATTTAAAAAAATATAAATTTATATTTTACATATTATAAAACTATAAATGAAATTATAATTATTTTATTTTTACCTAATATGTCAATAGCATATACTGGCCTTTGAGAAGCCAATGCATCAAGATTTAAACACCACAATGCCACACCTGCTCCTAAACCATGTAATAAGACAATTGGTGTTTTTGTTGATTCTTCATTCAAAGAAATGGTCCATATCTTATCTGATGTTCCTACAACTGGTCCTATATCCACATACCATCCTCTATATGCTGTTCTCAAACCTATATCAAATACAATAGTTCTTAAATCATATAGTTAATAATTTCAAATCAAATAAAATATCATTAAAATTATAATTTATTACAAAAGATTATTTTATCTCAAATGTCTTTAAATATATCTCTAAATGTCTCTAATTTATTTTTCAAAAAATTTGTTTAACAAAAAAAACTTACAAGAAAGAATTTTTTTCTCCGCAGCACGTAACATAGTTGAAGATGAGCCAGACCAGCTAAACCATTCCCAAAACCAGCTAACAAATAAAAAAATTCAAGAAGATTGTATAAATAAACGAAATATATTCAATTTTTCATAAATTGTATATTTATAAATATTTATAAAATCACATTTATGTAACAGTATTTTTACATAATTAATAATTAGGATTAATAAAAACTAATGATATGTGTAATAATAATTTTTTAATAAATTTATGTGTTATTTATGTGTAGATCATTGATTATCTATATCATTATATTTTTCGATACTGTTATAATGTAGTTTTACAAATGTCATGTTATGATTTAAAATACTGAACTTGAAAAATTATTAGACATTATATATATAATAATCTGACAAGTGATAAGCATGATAAACATAATATAATACATATGTAAAATCAATTTTGAAGACTTTAATGCGTAGATTAAAAAAGAAATTACCTACGTATTTGTGTAAAATAAACTCGAAATGGAATTAACTCTACATATTTCTTTGGTTATGATTCTTCGTGCTAAAAATATTTGGCACGTGACCTTGAAAAGCAATCCAACATGACATAGTTAACTCTTTGACTTCCATAATCATTTTTCTTTTATATATATATGTAGCGTTTCAAAATACTTCTACATGTACGGTATCTATAATATAAATCTATTAATTATAATGACAATTTCTGTGGCAATATAAGAACGTTGTAAATTAAAAGTTTTTAATTTAAATTTCGAATGCGAAAATTGATACAATTAAAATGATGTATTTATAGAAAATTGATGTATAGAAAATTATGATAAACTATAAAGTCGCCAAAAAATGAAAGCCATAAATTAAAAAAAAAATTACGAATGACAGTTACAAAAAAATTATATTTAAAATTCTTCAATACATACCTTTTCGATTTGACAATTTCATAATCTGCCATTAGCTTTTACGATGCTTTGGTTGTTCGTGTACGATGATTTCTTTGTTGACAATATGGAAAATGAGTACGACGACGTAACCAATTCTATTATCTAGTCGGTAAGAATTCCAGTATACATTGTCTGTTGAAAAATGGAAGAGTGGGAGAATCAGCTGATGTACATATGTTTTGGAAGATTTGTGGAATTTTTCTTTTGTGAAATACAAAATACGTACTTCATTGTTTATTATTATATGTATTTTTTTTTAAATACATATTGATTGCAATGTATTAACACATTATTTTTTTGAAATAAGATTATTACAATAATAAAGTATTACATGTAATAAAAGTAACATAACCTAAAATCATCGTGATAACCAATATTCATAAAGTATACATTGTAAATTTTTTTAAAGAAGTGCAGTAACTGTTTCTGTTTTAACTAACTTCGTATTTTTTAATATAATTGAAATTATTAACTTGTAAATCTTATAAATTAATAAAATTCATGATAATGTAATGAGCAATATTATATCTTTAAAAAAATCTATAATACAATATATTATATTTTTATTCTGATGCATGAATTAATTTGAAATTTATAAAGAATAAAGTTATAAATAAGTTCTTTATAATATACATATATATATCGGAGATATCGATGTTATGTGAAAAATAATAATTAAAGATAAAAAAGAATCTACCGCTTATAGTTATCGATCAAAATATTTTTGTATAGTGATAAGAGTACATCGATTGTACAAATTTATTAAAAATAATTGTAAAATTAATAACTAATATAGAATTTTATTTTTTGTTTTTGTTTTTAATTAATAATTTAAAATATTTTGAATTTTTAAGTAAGTAAATTATTCTTATGATTAATGTATTTATAATACAATGAAATAAATGAATCTCTATCTTTGTAACATGCAACAAAGTGTAAGTATAATACAATGAAGAAGACATTTTATAATGATCAGAGACTCTATATACAAGCTCTGGGTGCTTTTGGTTCTCCCGACAATATGAGCTATTCATCCCAATCAGCACATCCTCATTGCACTCATGCATGATTCTCATTATTTGGTCCAATTGTTTCGGGAATTTAAAGTTGTATGATAGTTGATGGATTGTCCTTACAGTTTTATACTTGTATTATATATGTATTATATATATTTATATCACTATATATATTTATTAATTGTAATAAAAAAAATTTACCAAAATAATAATATTAAATAATAAAAACAATAATATTTTATTGAGACTATTATACAATGAGAAAAACAAATAATAGAATATGAGAAAAATTCGTTAACTGCAATTTTAATTTCACTATTATAAATATTTTTTTCAATTTATATTTATATTAGCCATCAAGCATATGAAATATAATTATTTTAGAAAAACACTAAAATTCTTTAATTACGTAAAATTCTTTAATTATGTAAAAATTTGAAAAAGTTTGGTTATTAAAATTCTTCTTTAATTTCTTAATAAAAATGATATTTATTTTTATTTTGTTAAAAATAAAAAATCTGTCAAAGAAGATATAAAGAAAATAACATATATTCACATTTCGAATGGCGTATTCAAAGATAAAATATAAAGTAAGAAGTATACCTATATTTATGTATATTCAATGTAATGCATAGCATGCGTGGCGCAAGAATACAAGATAATTCGGGCGTCGTCTGCTGGCACTACTTTTCTATTTGCCAGTCAAAGAACAAAATTTCACATAAAATTGTATTCTACATTGAATTTTTTAACGCCGAACAAATTATTTCAATTTTATAAGAAATATAACTTTATATTTTTTAACATTTACTTCTATATTTACTAAATACAAATTTTTAAAATAATTTTATAACAATTTTTAATTTTCGAGCTTTTAATATTAATTTTGATAATATTATTAATAATTTATTTATATTTATAAAATAAATTAATATTTTTTTGTTACTTTCATGTAATAGTCAAATGTTTAATCGGTAATTCAAGAATACAAAGCTTGTTTCGTGAATAAATAAATAAATAAATAAATATATATATATATATTTATTTTTCATTCCATTCTTTTTCAACGATATAATTAATTATCGAAAAAAACCATTTTTTTTATGAATTCACGTTAATATATAAACATATTTTAAATTTTATATCTTTTTTGTCACACGAAATTAATTTATATCAATTCTTTTTGACATCTTCCTAATTCTTATAAGAAATATTCATTTAAACTATTAAAATAATTATTAAAATAATTTATATAATTCTATTTTTAATAATAAATATCAATCACCATAATTATATATATCAATCTCCATAAAACTTGAAATTTGAAATGAATTATATTCAATTTTATTAATTTTATCTTTAATTATTTTATATGTATTTTAGTTATTTTATTTGTATATATTTTATATTAATATTAAATATTAATATTACATGCAAAAAAATTATATAAAAAATGCATAATTTTACTATGAATATTATTGAAAAAAATATAATCAAAAAATATCATACAAAAAATATAATAGCTATTAAGCGAATAATCAAACATAATATATAACATTTGCTAATGTTTTCAATATTATAATTAATAAGAAAAAATAAATTTGATCTTATTTTTTTCTTTCTGCTTTTATGTAATCCTATATTATTATAATCTATGATTTCAATATTTTTGATAATATGTAATTCATGACATACAATTGATTATCAATATAATTATATCAAATTCTATTGAACAATATTTAGTTCAGATATAATATATAAAAAAAATTCATAAGATAAGATGAAATTTATTTATTTAATATGATGATTTACTGTCATCTAAAAATTATTTTCTAAAGAATGCCATATTCACTTTGTAAAATGTATTAAAAAGATGCATGATGAACATTAAATGGAATCGAAAATCGTAGTCGAAGATGCGTGGGTTAATGCAAATTTGTCAGAGAGGGGAACTACTTTTTAATCGCGAACACCAATATTCCACAACTCACGGCACCTGTCGTACTATACGCAATGTAGTTTAACGTACCTAGTAGCGGACGATGGGATGCCGAGCAGTATTCCAATTGGTCGGTCAAAAGGGGCGCGCGGTTGCTAAGCAACGGCAACACCGCGCGCGTCACCGGCCGGCGTAGCCGGCACCAAACGTTCCTGCCACTGTGGCGGAAAATTGCGCAGAACAACGTCGACTCTCATCGGGTGTAAACGTGCTGCGGTCTTTAAATACGCGATATAGATTCACCGAAGCTTTATTTCTTTTTTTACTCTTGTCTCCTTTCTCATTGTCGAATACAAAATCGAAAGAATCCTTTGTGGTATTCTATTTAAAAATTGCGCGCTTCTTGCAAAAAACGAATAAATATTTTATTGGAGCAATAGAGTTACATTTTATTAAAGTAAAGGAAATAAAAAAGAAAAATGGCAGAGGACAAAAACGAAACCAGCCCAAGTGCCGAGGGTGAAAAGCCACCACAGGAAGCGGCCCCATCGAAGCAAGAAAAAGAAGAGCCAAAAGAAAATAAAGAAGAAGAAAAGAAAGTCGAAGAGAATGGCGACGGTGATAAACCCAAGGAGAATGGCGAAGAGAAACCCACGCCAGAACCGAAGGATATGCGGGCTATAGTACTGAACGGTTTCGGCGGACTGAAAAGTGTCAAAGCTTTGAGGAAGCCTGAGCCCACCCTCTCCGAAGGAGAAGTTCTTATTCGAGTCAAAGCATGGTAAGTAACTTTACAATTTATATATATTTTCGTATAATCTATACATTTACTTACAATTCGAATACTTTAATAATTCGATTTGGATATAGGAGAAAGTAGGAAATAAATGTAAATTAAATATAAAGAATTCATTGATTAAATAATATGAGTGAATATTATAAATATTATTTTGCGAATGTTATTAAAGTTATACATTAAATCCTATTAAAATTTGAACGGATCAGATGAAAAGTAGAAGTTAATTAAGATTGATGTGACGTTAGCGAAATCAAGCGACATTTTGATAGCGTCTCTTATTCTGTTTGAATATAAAGCAGTTAAATGTCACTAACATTAAAAATATGGATAAAATAAAATAAAATATGTTTCTTAAACATGTATAAATTTCGATTTTATATCAATGATTGATCACTTGAAATAGTTTTGAATTCTATTCGAAACGATGTTTCGATAGTTCGTTATTGGAATGAAGGTGAATCACTGAGAAGAAAACAAAATAGAAAATATGGTGTCCAGATTCCGATCCAAGCGAAGAGACCGTTACAATACCACTGCATCTTTGAAATTAAGGCGTGGTATCTCCGAGATAATTAAAATTTGATTATTAAAATTTGTTGATAATTAAAATTTTATTATTACGATATAGAGCATGAATAATTTTTATAGATGTAAAAGAATTTTAATAAAAACATTTAATTCCGGTATATGTACATCAAAATATTTCTTAAAATTAAAATTCTACTTTACATATTCTTTTGTATAAGATATAATTTTATATATATAATACTATTAATTTCTGACAAAATTTATACTTTATTTTACTAATAGGTTTTTATATTATTATTTTTGTAAATAAATAATAACAAGTTTCTAATCAATTTAAAAAAAAATTAGAATAATATAAAAAGTTATCATTTTTTAAAAATATAATTTATGATAAAATTTTTTTTTTCAATTTTTTTTATATAAAATTAATTTTTTAAAAGTTCATTTTTTATAAATTCTTTTAAAGACGCAATAGAATGTAAAGAAAATTATTATTAATTTTTGTAAGAATATACTTTAATTGAATATTTCGATATTTTTATAGGATTGCAATATGAAAAATTATTTGTCATTACTGTTTGACAAAAAAGTATTATCCAGCATTCCTCAGAATGTTATGCAGTCTGCACGTTAAATAGCTAGCTACATTTATAGAATACATGCCTATGTGTTTAATATTAGTGTATACTTTTGTAGATATGCAAAACAAAGTTTGATAAGCCGTTTAATTGTATTCAACTTTATTGAATATGTAATTTTGTCTCGTCGAAATTTATTCATATAATATATAAGAATATATATATATATATATATACTATAAACTTCAATCATGTTGTTATATTAAATATTTTTATATTATATGTATATTATATTATATTATATGAAAATCAATTTAACATTATTATAATATATATATATATATATATATATATATATCATATATATTATTATATTGGAACTTTAGTACACTATGTTTAATAAATACGATCCATTAATGTAGATATGAAAAAAAGATTATTAGATGGCAAAGTATATACATTTAATGCAACGCATATTAGAGAATACTTTATTTTATGCATTACATTTATGTGTTATATGTATAACATATAATATTCATATTCATAGATGATATAAATGAATTACAAATCAATAAATTAAAAATTTAGAATTTTGAGTCATTGTAATATCAAATAATTTTTTCTATCAAATTTCACTTTCGTTTTTTCTATTTTTTTTTTTTTTTTTACTTGCTTGGATTTACATTATATTTGTATAGAAATTATACATGCTTAATTCACAACGATAAATCAATCTAAATGTCTTATTAATTCATATAAAAAATTAAAAAATTTCTTCGTATTTTTATAAGATTCTATCTGTTTTTCTTTAATTATATGAAATATTGATTTTGTATGCGAAGAACATTTTTAGAAAAATCATGAAATATTAATATTACTAATTTTTTTTTAGAGAATCTATCTGATGGTGGTGTTGAAAGTTATTGAGATGTAAAAAAAAGCATGTTCAATATGTTTCATAAATCTCTACTTGAAGATAACAATTTCTTTAAAACTTTTGTTAATAGTATTATTATTCTTATATAAGAATATTATTCTCATCTCATTCTTATCATCGTTAAAATTAGTTTCTACAAAACAATTTGTAATTCAATGTTTTTTTATTTGAAAGTTTACTGAAACTATTTTATTTTATTATATTTAAAACTATTCGATTTTATTACATACTTAGAAAAAAGTTAATTTTCCGTTTTATTTTTACAAATTTTTGACATATTTGATATAAACAATAAATGTATTATTAGTAATGCAAAAAAATATAAAATTTCTATATTTTGGTCATCAGGGATTTTGTTATATAAAAAATTACTAAACGTTAAATATTTTAAATCGAGAAGGTTAAGTTTCTATATATATATATATATATATATATCTCGAGTCTAGTCCAATGAGTGTTTTTTCTCTTTTCGAAATGATCATAACACATAATATAATAGGAAAAGATGGTGAGTTAAAAAGAGATAGAGAATATAAGGGGAGAATCGGATTCGCTAAAGGCGTGCGGACCTTTTCACGCGTGAGTCACGTTTCATAAAAGCGATTGGGATTGATGAGAAAATAGCCCCCATAGAAAGATATCACGCTGCCAATGCTGGGTCGAATGAATTTGTCTGCACGACTATAGACGTTCGTTACATGCTGCTGCTGGCACCCCTGTATGTATGCGCGACGTGCTTGGAGAAGAGTGGTTTCGTTTGAAATCGTTGGGAGAAAGATCCGGGGTACTCTCTTTCTAGATAATTCAATTGCTTTTAGAAAACGATTGACGATAAATATGATCGAAAGAATCTTTGATTATTCGATTAAGAAAATAGAATAGAACTTTGTTTTGGGGTATTATTTTTTCTTAAAAAAATCTTTTTTTTTTTTTTGTATTTTCTAATAATATTGGATTAGTAAAAATGAAATATAATCTAAGAAAAAGTCATCGTTTTGAATCTAGGAATATTTTGGTTTTAAAGTTATCTAATTTACTTTTATTTACTTAAAAAGAAATACTATAAAACAAAGTTTAATGAATAAATACATATTCTCTTATATGAAAATAAGATAAACTATATTTTTAAATATGAATTTAGAAAAAATAACTTTGTAAATATCTTATTTCATGATGTGTTTGTGTGTATGTGCGCGCGCGCATATACATATAAAGATTTTGCAATATTAAGAAAATTTTCTTTTTAATATTAAATAATTTAAATTCCTAATTAAAATAATAAAAAATTGATATGATGTTCTATTTAAAAAAAAAAATGAAAAGAGAATTTTTTAAATCTCATAAAATATTATTTCAAAAATTGATCCAGATTATTAATCTTTGTTAATTGTTTAAAAAACATTGTACATATCTGTACTAATTTTGGAAATTATACTCTTCAATTTATCTATATATATATATATATATATTATAAAAAATTACTAATTATTTTAAGTTGATTACTTGAAAGATATTTATATGTAAAATTTGTTTTATAATATTACAAATTATATATTTATAATATACAAATTATATCTCATTTTGTATTTATATATACATATTTTTTTTTAATTTTTAAAAATAAAATTTTGAAAATATATATTACACAAAAGACTATAAATTTATTGATATATATATTCTGAATATCAAGTACACAATCATCAATTGATTATGAATGGAATACAAGAAATAAAAAAGGAAACTGGATATAATATAATAAATTTGAAAATATAATTCGATTTCTCATTTTATTTTATTTTATTTTATTTTTAAAGATTACTTTTTATAGTAAATCTGATTCATAAGTGGTTTATGAGATACGGGAAGAGTAAAAACTAGACAGAGTACCCTTCTCGAATTTTTTTGGTTTATTTTTCTTTAGTTTCTCTTTTTGTTTCTTTTATTTTTATTAATTTTAATAAATTCTTAAGAAGAATTAATAAGAATTTCTAAAATTTGAATTTTCAGAAATTGATAAAATAATAAAAGAAACTTTGAACGATCATCTTCTTGATTACTTTTTTCTTTCAATTTTTTTTTTTCTATTAATTTCTCTAAGCTTTTCTATATTTCATTAAAAAATGGATCGTATATCAATCGAGCATATCACATTACACTTTATTATGTTAACGAAAATTTTTGTAAATTAAGTTGAAATACCGATAATATTAATTTTTTAAACTATATAGAATTTTAACGTTTTTATTTTTATATTTTGTTTGCTATCAAATTATTTTTTTTTTAAATATTTTGCATTTGATGATATTTAATATCTTTCATCAATTTAAAAGTAATACTAAATAATAATTAAATAACAAGAAAAAAAAAATAAATAAATAAATAATTAAATAAATAAATCCATTATTTATATATATAAGCGAAGTCATTTTTAATATATCCATCATTTTTCACAGCTCGTATCTATTTCTAGAATTAATATATTTTAATTTGAATATTTTTTCACACTTATAATTCTTATTTTTCCTCAAACTCTCTCAAACACGTTCACATAATAAGAAAGAAAAGAAAATGAAAAACAATAAATCATACATGTATATGTATATATAAAAAATATCTCAAAATATCTGTGCATTATGCACAAACTATAAATAATAAATTAAAGCGAGGAGAACAAACTCGTATCGTAATATAAAACTTTTTCTCGCTTTCATCCATGTTATTTTCCGGTTGAAAACCTTAACATGAAGAGGAGGTACATTTCATAAAGTGTGTAAGTGTGAAACATTGTCGGGCAGTGAATTAGTATAACGCGATAATTCATCCGCTTGCTTCTCTAAGATGCAATTTTCCACGGTGTGACCGTGCGTGCGCATACCGTGCTTCAACCAGGCTGTGTCACAAGTGAAGCGTATGATTCAGACAACGTGATCTCTGTGATT